ATTTTTGTTTCTAACTTTACTATTTTTTACCATTTTTATTTATTCTACCCATTTATTTTAATTTTTAAAAATAGTTTCTGACTTTTAAAAATTCCCAAAAAATTTATAAAAATATTTGGACCCATTTCTGATTTTTATATGGTTTTATTTTTCATTTCTTGATTAATTTGAATATTATTGATATTTTCCCCATTATTTTTTAGTTTATTTTTATATTTTTCATCCTTTAATACATATATTAAATATTATATCATTTTGTGAATATTTTCTGGCTGTCTTGGGTTGATTTTTTGGCCATGGCTTTATTAACATCATTGGGTCCATGGTGTTGAGTTTAACTCCACAAAAATGGATGAATGATTTTAATAATAGTTTGATTAAATATTAATTCAAATGTGGTTTTTTTCTATTTACCCTAATTCCTCTTCATCTTTTCCCTTTCTAATTGCATAAATGTTGCTAGAGCATGATCTCTATATCATGTCTCAAAACAAATGGTGCATAGATTGCTATTGACCGACCTCAAAATAGGCGCGACTTCTATATAAGTCCACTTACGATTGCTTAACATAGCGCTAAATTTTGTCCTGATTCAAATAAATGATCATTCGTGGCCCAAACTTATGATTGTAAGCCCAAGTATGTTAATTTGATCTCTTTGATCCAATAACCTTGAGATTCATTGTGTGGAGGCTTTGGTTCTACCAATCCTCTAATGGATCTACAACACTTTTGATCAATGCGGATCACTTAAATATCGTTGATCATTAAATGATACTTATGAGAATTCCAAATAGATGATATACTTGACAAAAAGAAAATGCAACTTGTTGTGTGGAGGCTTTGGTCCTATCAATCCTCTAATGAGTTCCAAATGTAAGTTTCAAGATGGTCATCCAACTAACCACTAATTATTGACTTGTTTTACCTTATGCTTTTATTATTTTTTATGCTTTATATACTATTTACTTTTAGCATTTACATTTCATGCCATTTTCATCTTTGCTCATTTGAGCATTTATTTTCTTGCCATTTTTTTACTTTGCTCACTTGAGCTTTTCTTTTCCTTTCTTAAGATACTTAATAATCAACATAAACCCTAAAAAACTCTTAGTGGCACTTGGACTACTTGGTTACTATCCTTGGCATGGTGGAGCAGTGGACTTTTCTTGGACTTAGGATTAGAAACCTTGGCCTATCTTGGATACCTTGTGATCTTATCTGATTATTTTATCTAGAGCTCTTGAGGTTTACCTCAAGACATTGGGTTGCTTGTTTGTTTTTTGTGTGCAGGTTTTTTGTGATTACATCCTCTGTTTATAATCTAGAATTCACCTGTATACATCTGTTACTCTGCCCAATTTTTGTGAAGACTTGGTACACTTGAAGAGGTCTAGTATCTTTGCTTGCTTGGTTTCAATCCAAAGAATATGAATTTTATCTTGGCCCTTAATGTCAAGCTTTGGCTTCTTGTTGGTTAGATGGTCCTTATCCTTAGCTTTTACCTTATGCTTTAGGATAGTCTCTTCTACTCCTCCCATCTTCTTTAATTTCAAAAATCTTCTCCCTCCTTTGAAAACTCTTCTTGTTTTGAAACTTAGACTACTTTCATAATAAACTTGGACTTATGTCCATGCATTTTCAAAACATTTTCATAAATAAACTTCAATCAATCTAATAATACTTTGACACTTTTTTGTGAGAAGACTAAAAGTCAATCAATCTCATTTCAAACCATTTTGCCACTTTGGCTTTTTATCTTTAAACTTTTCTCAAAAGGTCAGACTCTTGTCAATCCTTGTAGTGATGCAAACAACTATACCTCTATAATATATAGTGAAGAGAGATATTTTCCACTTAGGTTTTGAGTGAAGCATTGTTGATTTTAAAATCCAGGCCATTATCCTCCACTTTGAGATGATGCAATTTCTCCTTTCATGATTGTGGGTAGTAAGTATGTTTTCCACACGGACAATGACAATGATATCTTATCTCTTAAAATTAACCAACACACTTGTGTTTCAAATTTTTAAAGAGGAACTACGTGTACCCTGATCCCCTATTGCACGAAAGGTGGTACGTAGGCACTAAAGGTTCGCAACTGCGGCGGGTGCAATAATCATAAAAAATATATTTCTTTTCTCACCTCCACCATCCATTTTATATACAACACATTTTATACAGCCAAAATATACAGATTTTTCAAAGAGGCTCCTGCGGAGTACCGTAGATGTTTAGGGTGCTAATACCTTCCCTTTGCATAACCAACCCCTTACCTTGAATCTTTCCCCCTTTTTTTGGGTTATTCACTCTTTTCCCATTCCTTTGGAAACAATAAAGTGCGGTGGCGATTTTTATTTTGATTTGTACAAAGTCTAGTCAATCCAATGGCTTAGTCTTGAACATTTATACCACTACAATCGTTAAGTTTTCATATATATTTCTGTTGTATTGCACATAGTGTTGAGATTTCTTATCTTTGTATATCCTAGAAATCTAAAGTGTTAAAGTCTTTGAGTGTGTTGTATTCTTTATGCACCTCTGATTGTATATCAAGTACATCTAGTTGTCTACGCATCTAAAATGTTTGCTTATAAGTTTAGTGGAAGTCTCTTGCTAAGTTTCTTGAGCAAAGGAAGTCTCTTGATAGGTTGCTTGAGCAAAGGAAGTCTCTTGATAGGTTGCTTGAGCATAAGTCTCTTTCTAAGTTGATTGAGTAAAAGAAGTCTCTTGCTAGTTTGTTTGAGCAAGTTGTAATCAGGTTTTGATTATAGTGAAAATATCTTGTGGGACAAGAGGAATGGAATATCCCCGGTTGTAGAGGAACCAAAATAACTTTTTTTATGCTTTTACTTATTGCTTCTGCACTTTTCATCTTTCCGCTGCTAACTACTCTAAAATCAGATTCTGATCTTAATCAGTTTGTGAAGTTGCAATTAAGAAGCAAAATAATTTACCATACACAATTCAACCCCCTTCTTGTATATTTTTCTTACATTAAGTTGGTTTAGCACATCCTTCCTCGCTTTATGCCAAATTCCCTCTCCAATAGTTTCCCGTTGAAATTTCATTATCTTCCACTATGATTTGACAATTCCTTATACATAATCTTTAATACAACTACTAGATACAAGATGATGCTGAAAATTAAAAAAATCTTTGATCGATCTTCACTTGATGTATAAAGTTTCTGTTATTGATTTTCGCGAGATCTTGACGATATCTCAACTTTCACATTCTAGAATCAATTAACCAGCTCCAAGCGTTTGTTTCGTAGTAACTGCTACTAAATCCTACTAGTTTCTTGTCTGAGCCTTGATATATCTGAAGGTAATATAAACTCTAACTCCGTCTATAACAACTTTCACAAAGTTCTACCGAAGCAATCTTAGAGAAAAGAAATTCCTTATTTTTCTTTGTTGGATTGTCAATCTCATCCACAACCACACAAAAACGCCAACCTAAAATATTCAAATCTTCATAAATTGTTAAATAAGAACGAACCTCCTCACACAGATCTCATACCTTAGGTTGAGAAGTTAAACCAAATGAAAATGACATAAGTTAGAGGTTAAATATGAAGTGAAGTTTCAAATGCTATCTAAAAACAAAAACTCAAAGTGAATTTTGAAAAATTGAGAGAAAAGTGGATTGTATGCTCATTCAATGAAATGTTGTGTGTATGTTATGAGAACCATTAATGAGAAAAGGTTTATATAAGTCTTGTAGTAATGCACAAAAAAGAGAGAAAATGCCAATTTGATTCGAGTCATGAGCACATGATATGACTCGAATCGAATGAATGAAAGATTTGAATCAAAAATTAAAAACCTAAAAAAATTGAATCTATGAGTCGAGTCACACAAATCCATGATACAAATCAGAAATACAGAATCAAAATCCAAAAAATACATTTGATTTTTTATTCGAGTCAAGGTATTCTTTGATTCGAACCTAGACCTCCATGATTCGAGTCAAGCTTTCCTTTGATTCGAATCATAAATACAAAAGAAAATTCATGTTTTTTAGATTAACTTTTTTTATTCGAGTGAGACATTTTCTTGATTCAAATAAAAGATACAAATTTAATTTATGATTTTCACATTCAAGTTTCACTCGAATCACTCAATTCTCTTATTCGAATCATGGAAACTCGATTTTTGAGATAAATGAAGTGCTTCATTGAATCAAGACATGGTAAGATTTGAATCATACTTTCACATGGTTGTTAATCCAAACCTCTGACTAATCGACTAGTATCATATTATGTCACTTTAATCAAATAGTTCGATTTATGCATGTATAAAAATTGTTCAGCCCTTAACCCTAGAATATGCAACTATATGAGGAGACTCAATTACAACAAACAACTAAAAACTAAATCGACAAGCTACAAAAATATAAACTAGGACGAACCCTATGAGCGTCAGACTCCCTCTACCTTCAAAAAGAATCCTCAAGTATCTTAAAGGCACTCTTGATCATGACATTCATTTATAGAAGTTGTGCTCAACAAGGAGCTTCACCTTGAAGAGACAACACAAATGACATCAAATATGTGATAATTAAGCAACACTGCATGTTGCCTATAATCCGGATATTCATGAAAGAAACATCATATTGAGACAGATTATCATTTTGTAAGGTAGAAGATGGAATCAGATGATATCACCACTAACTCTGTCAATTTCAATAATCAATTGGCAGATGGACTTCACCAAGTCCTTAAAAGGTCATCAAATCAATTATTTATGTGACAAGTTTGATGCCTATGATTTATAAGCTCCATTTTGAGAGGGAGTATTAAAAATAAAGATATTAAAACTGATAACAATATAAACTGTTTTTATTCACATATGCAAGCCATATGATACACACATACCCCAAGGGTTTTTTATTCTTAGTACAATTTCATTCTTCAAGCATAACTTGATATATTACACAAATGCATGCACACAAATTAATATTACACATAAAATTAACCCAACTTTGTTAAGCTTTTACTTGTGCATGTCAACAAACTGAGAGCAATCAATTCCCTTACCAGAAAATGCTTCTACAAGCTTAGGAAAGAGTTTAGCAAGCATAATCTTAAATCCTGCAGAAGTTCCCTTCTGGTTTTCATGCTCACTTTTTTCACCTGCAATAGAAGCTCCTTCAAGATATGCCTTACAAGCATTAAGTATATGTTTGGCGCGTTGTCGAAAGTGTTCTTCCACCAATGCCTCGAAATGCTGCAATTGCAATCAGTTTAGTTTCAAATTTGTTTCACACGAAGATTAAGAAAATGAGAGAATAGTTATTTTACCTTTGGCGGGTTTCTTAATAGATACAGCATGGATTTGGAGGTGAGGAGGAAAGCATTCTCGTTGTAACTCACTGAGTTTTTCTCTCCTTCAGCTCTGCCGATTTGTTGGTCGTATCCAGCCTCGTTGAAATAAGGCTTCTCGTTAAGGACAAGAGCTTGCAGAGAGAGAAGGACTTGAAGAACCGTGGAAGATCCGGGGTTCCACACTTCGGCCGCGGTACCACTCCACGTGTTTAGGAGACTTAAACACACTTTCCCTGACTCGTACAAATTAGGATTTATTCGTAACCCGCCAGAAATGTAGTGCACAATCTACAAGAGATTTCAAAGGCCACAATGATAGGATTGTAGATTGTTGAAGAACAAAAGTAATAACGCGCTTTGCGCAAACAAACAAAAGAAACTTCATTCGAAAGCTTACCGGTGGTTCACTAGGATACTCGGGAGGGAAACATACATCGAAGAAAAACAAGCCGTCGTGATAAGGTGTCCCTGACGCACCAACAATGACTGCTCGCATGAGATCCATTCTTTCTTCAAAAACACGGACATAAATAGTTTCTGTTTAGGCATGTAAAGATTGTATGTCAATTTGCAGAAACTGCGATGGATATTAACAACATAGTCTGAGAGATTTAACTATTAAATCAAGCAAATAAGAAGTATGCACCAGGAACATTTTTCTCCAGGATGCTCCATTCTTGCTGCACCTTTTTCACCCAATCTTTCTTAACCTACAAAAGGTTCAATCCAGAGGAAAAAATAAGGCGGAATGTTTTCAAAATGATTATATGTCGCTTACGTGATGTGACAATTTTGTAACCTGAGATAATGGCAACCCTTTTCCCTCGTTGAAGAAGTGGTGGTCTGAGCAAGTATCAATTATGTCGAACTGTTTCAACTGATCTGAACAGTTGTTGTTTAAAGAAACTGGAACATCCCTCGTCTCATGAATCGAAGTCGAGACGACTTCAGCAGACTGCAACGAACTCACGGGATGTGAATTAGTGTCGAGGCTACAAGTTTCCAAATCTTTCTTGCCGAGAAAATCGGACGCATTTCCCTCTTCAAATGTAGGGACTGTGGAAACAGCTCCATAAAATGATGTCAAGCCAAGTTTTTGAAATACACCGGCTTTAATGTTTGAGAAAAGTTCAAAGGCAGCTTGAGGAAGGGAAAAGGAACTACTCTCTCCTGGATGCTTATCACATTTATCTTGAGTCAAGTCGGCAACATTTGTTTCATAAGAAACAGGAGTTGCAGTTGAACTTTCGTGCTTATCAATACGAAAAATTTCATATGGTGCAACCTGTTTATGTACAAAAAAAATTATAACTTATTGAATATGAAGGGATACAAAATAATGAATGTTCTCGACGGTATACCTTAGTTGTTAAACCAGTAGCCCATTTCACCTCGACGTGACCATCTTTGAATCCAGAAACATTGCCGATACAGGACAGGTGACAGTTATCTTTGGACTTATTGTGGTAGTTGATTTGATTCAGTTTTATGAGAGGAACTTCCACATTCAAGTCACTCATTGAATTTGCATTATTTTTCTCAGCTCTGTAACCAACCTGCTTTTGAGCCGTCTTGAACACAATATCACCAAAACAACAGGAAAAATCCGGGTGTTCAACAAGTTCGTATGCACTCACAGTTTCCAACGTTGGTTCTCCAGCCAAATCATCTGGCTCGGATGTCAGAACTGTTCTCCATTGTACGTTTACAGTATGCTCTTCTGCATCGACTGATAGAACAACGCCCCATCTTTGATTGCTATCCTTATCATCATCATCATCATCATCTTCAGAAGTACCTTTTTCCATCACAAACTGATGAGGCCAAAACTCATGAGTGTTTATGACATTCACAGGGATTAAGTTCTGCGGATCTGAACCCAAAGTAACTTGGCCGTTTTGCCAAATAATATCAACTTTGGTCTTTATCTTACCAATAATAAACAATTCTTCCATGCTAGAGTTAATGTTTCTTCTCCGATATCCTCTAGACATACCATACGTATTAGGAAGATAACCATCCGGTGAATCTCGAATCATCTTTTCAATTTGTTCCTTTTGGTCTGCAGCTGGAAGTATGCACCAGTCACCGAGTTGCCAGTTTGCATGCAAAAAACACGACAGCATGGTCAAGTTTTTGGAATCTTGCCAGCATGCAGGAGCATTCACATTTGAATTAGAACCTAAAAGAATCGACGTAGCCCAATTAACATACACCAAACCTGCTTCCACGGAACAAACAGTTCCTTCGTCATGATTATCTCTCCAGTTGTCACATAGCCATCTGGCCGATTTAGAACCGGTTGAGGACTTAACTTTCACTCTCTGCCCTGGATAGTACGGATACTGCGAATCTTCAAGAAAATTAGGAGTTTGTGGTAAAATCTTATCTTTTTCCAAGGTCGTGATATCGTATTTTGTCCCATCGTCAAACAACACAGTTAATCTGTCCACTACCCTTTGAACCTGACCAAGCCACGGCCCTTTAATCACATAATCACCTTCTGAAATGGAACGAATCTTCAAAAGTTTCTTGGAGTTCACGTTTTTTAATATACTTCCTTGAACGTTTTCCAAATCCACGGCCACATCCACACCAACAACCCTCCCCATCTGTCCAGTTGTGTCTGACAAGGAACGGACGACATCTCCATAAGCAAATGTCCTCTCAAATGAGAGAAAATCATCGATCTTCCCGATGCTTTCCTCTAAACTAGACAATATGCTCTGAGCTTGGCCCCCATATAGAAAATCAATATCCTCTTGATCATCACTGCTACTGCTCTCGCTGGAAGACTCCCAGTCCGAATCAGTCATTTGAGCTTCCATCAACTATATATCTACCATAATGTGTTTCATAATAATACAACGCGTTACAAGAGAATAACTTCGGTAACACATAAAAGGCAATAATAGCATTATTTTAGTCAATATCGACAATCATGAAGATCCTTACCTTTTCAAGCAAATAGAAGCATTAAGCACCGAAGCCGATTTGTATTGCAATCAACAACAGATGAGTCAATATTGACTTGAGAGGATATTTTGTATGCAGAACAAAACGCGTCTCATTGATACTGATACTTATGACAGATACTAAACCAGTTTCTTAAAAACTTTGATCACTGAAACTGAAACTTTAATGCCAAAGAAGATTTGTCCGACGGGGATAATTGGAGTCTATTACGACTCCGGAATGCCAAAGGAGATTTGCCCAGTTTGCACTGGAGTTTTCACAAAAGAAAGGGTTGCAAAACTAGTATCAAGAAGCTAAAACTATCGGATTTTTTTTTTGTGACTTTTTGGAAGGAAAAGTTAAAGAAACTTGAGAAAACTGACCAAGATAATCAAAAGATTCCAAAGGAGATTTGCCCTACCAAGAATCAATACGACGGAAATTAAGTAACTTTTGCCAAAGGAGATTTGCCCAACACCGAAGAATCTTCAAACATAAGTATAGTTTCCAGATAGTAGCTAATAAATTTTCCTCTTCTGAGATCGAGAGACTCGGAAGCTATATTGCCAAAGGAGATTTGCCCCAAGGAGAAGCCAAACACTCTACCAGATCTACTTGATATTAAGGAGGATTGATTGATTTCCAAAATCAACAAAATTTCATCAGAAAAGCAATCAAACATAAACTTTCAGTTACTTGATTAGTCTTACAATAATTGCCACTACCAAAAGAAGAAAGTTATCAGATGATTTGTCTAACAATAATTGCCACTACCAAAAGTCAAAACCAGAAAATTTCTTTTGAACCTGTAACAAGAAGAAGACTAGTGAGTATTTTCTCTAATCATTTTCAATAAGAAAACAACAAAAATAGGAGATAGCCATAACTCATGAGGCAAGAGAACAACTCTTCATGGACGGATAAAGAACAAAATTCCAAAGGAATCACAACTTATTGATCAAATAAAACTAGAAAAATCATTTTAAAAAAGTCATAACTAATAATGACTTTATTGAGATTCCTATGCGTTTAAAGTGAAGCACTCAACAGAAAAGTATATTCAATAGAAAACAACAGCATAGTAATAGAATGAGTTATTGCAGAAGAAGGGATTGTGACTGTACCATTTGGACCACCAAGAAGGTTGGTTGGTCCCATAAAAGCTACTATTAGAGTTTATAGAGCCAAGCTAGAAAACCAAGAAACCCCATGATTTTATACACCAAAAAAGGAACATAACATAACAAGTTGAAAAAAGGGTGGTTCAAAGACTTGATCTTTTTTAGAGTTTTAGAAAGTGGGTGGTGGTGTGAATTCAGATAGGTTTAGTTTCACGGCCAGTTGCACCGTCGTCAACGCCACCAGTGAACTTGGGAACCATTTCAGAGACAGTTTTTTTGTTTGTGTTTGTGTTTGTGTTTGTGTGTGAAAATGGAGTTTAGAGAAATGAGTGGTGTTGTTATAATAAAGAAGAAGAATAAGAAAAGAACAAAAGCAAAGCAAACAGTATGAGCATGAGACAGAGAAAGTGTTGTCTTAGATAAAGACAGTTAAACTATATTTATGTTTCTATATCTTAAAAGGAATCCTCCTTAAACTTTCTTTGCATTTTGTCTCAACTCTCAATTTATGAAATATGATCAAATCAATGAAATAAGATAGATCATAACAATTATAAAAAAATATGATATTGATAGATACAATATTGATTTTTTTTTAGCTTTAAAAGAATTTTAAAAAATTATATTTTTAAAAATGAATTTTATAAAACTATTTCTTAAAATATTATAAGTTTTTTATATTTATTTTTGAGATTAATTATTATACACCGTTAGTGTAAAACTTTTTACACCATCAATGTATCATAACCATCCACTAATATTATTTAATAAATAATTAAAATTAAAATAAAATATAATTTATAATTTAATAATAATAATTCATTAATGATGTAAAAGTTCTTTATACTGTTGATTTCTAATTAAATTATTTATTTTTTAATTTAAAAAATTAATTTTGACATTCTATAACATAAACATAAAAGATCAAAACATATTCAAAATTATAAAATTTTCAAAACGATGTATTTCAAAAATAATTTTAATGAAAAATTATTTAAAATAATTTTAAAATTAAATAATTTTTTTAAAAAATTTACATTTAAAAAAAATTAAAAATAATTATTCAAGCAAAATTTTCATAAAAAGCTTTTTCATAATTCTTTTTACACAAAATTCTTGTTTTTATATAATATTATAAAGATCATTGAGAGAAAAAACCAAAATAAACATATCCACAACAATCTTATGATTTGAAATATGGTACGTCAACTAACATGATTTAAGAATATAGATTTAAATTAAACCATTATTTTTTTAAAGTATAGGTTTTTTATAAGTTTATTTAATTAAAAGATTAGGTTATACATTATAAAAAAATATTTAATCTATTTGACTATGATCTATTTAAATAATTTTTTTAATAATAATTAGTTCATATATAATAGTTTATATAGAAATATATGTAAATGGACAACAAATTATATCGTTATTTTTTTTTAAATTGCAAAATTAATCCTCTTAAAATTATATATTGATCTAGAAGATACAATATTGTTATTCACAAATCTATGTAAAAGATTCATTGTTTATGGTGTTAGAAAATTATAAATATAAAAGGTAAATAGTAAGAAAACATGTTGATTGTCGGAGTACGTTTTTTCATGTTTAACAACTTTACTTGAAGCGACTTTGAGTTCTTTGTCCCACGATAAAACCTTCATTCTTTAGTCTAAACAGTGAAAAAACCTAGTCAAATTCACACAAGCATGTTTCTCTCCTATCCACCAGTACACCACAATATATTCTAGCCTAAGTGTTGATCTTCCCTTATGCGAATTAGTCAAAAAAATTCACGAACGTCTCTTTCTTCACAAATACTCTAATTCGCCAAAATATATCAAACAAAACATCTCTAACAAGATCATATCGATATTTGAAGTTTGGAAACTCCCTCTACTAAATCGTATTTTCACAAAATGTATTCAAACATGTTTTACAACAAACAGGACAAACAAGACATAAATATGAATAATTTTATTATTAATATTACAATATTATATTTTATAATTTCAATTAAAATACAAAAATAAAATTTAATTATTTTGAAGAAATTATAAAAATAAGTTAAAAAATATTATGAACAATTTCATAAGATATTTTCATTAATTCTTTTAAACAAATAATCTCACATAATTTATGTTAATAGATAAGTTCGAATAAGTAAATACAATAAAATATTTGTCTCATTGGTCTTTTAGTTTGTTAATCTATTTAAATATTAGTAGAATTGTGTCATACCCAAAATTTTGACCTAAGATCCCACCTTCATTTGCATTTTTATAAAGCGTCAAGGTCACGAGATACAATTGGTTTTTAATCTGCTCACCTTCGAGCATTGCTTATGCATAGATTATCAATTATTGCGAACATCTAATTTTATGCATCACTAACTTCTAATCTCATATAAATGTGTATGTTTGTGTTTCTTTGGTTTCATGTGCAGAGACAGGTCTGAATCAAGAGCGTCAGGTGTTGCGCCTCAATTAGGGTTTTGGATCCCTCAAGTGTTCAAGTATGGAATCACCAATTCTCAAAGACTACTTTATCAAAGCTTATCCTCTAATCTCAAAAGCACAATCAAGAATTCATCATCACTGGTTCACATGTGCCTCAATATGCCTCGGAATGCAAGGAATGATCAAATTTGCAAGTCGATTCAAAGCACTTCAACCAAAAGTCAACTTGTGCAAGATCAAGTTTAAACGATCATAAATTCTTCATTATTCAATATTTTGAATGGTTATTTTTGAGAATAACTCTCCTTGACGCCATCCCCAACTTATCTTTACAAGACAAAAGCTGATTATGTGCGGAGGATCACCAAAAATTTGAATACTTTAGAGGTCCTTTTGCGAAGTTGACCTAATTCCAATAAGATCTTGTAAAACTTTCGAGGATCATAACTTACTCATTTTCCAATGATTTGAGGCGATTCTTTTTGCGAAGTATCACAAATAGCGCTGCCTATGAGATTTCTTCAAAGATCGAAGTCGAATTGCGCTTGGAAAGGCATGAAATTTACCGAAATTTTATAGGTCACGTTTTGACTTAGAATGTTCTTAACCTCTACTTTAAACTCATGTCACAATAAGTTTCTTCAAAGGTATTGTTCATTATGGTGGATTGAAGTATAAGTTGCAACTTATTTTGATCGGTACAATTTTTTATTCTCATCAAACACTTGTTACTTTACTTTGCAAGTTAACTTGAATTTGGGGAAATTAAAGTTAAGAGTTCAAAGCGATTTGAATTTTATCACTGAGATTTAAACTTTCATCAAGATTTATTCAAGGTTGCATTCAAACAAGAGCTCATTCATTATTCAAGTTCATCATGAATTCAAAGAGCAAGTTACATTCATGTTCTAAGCATCAAAAACATCTTCAACTCAATTTGATTCAGATTTGTCCAAAGCATTTTTTATGTTCTACATATAAATGAGATATTGGGAATAACATTACAAAATCCTAAATCCCTAAAAAGCTATACAATGATATGACATTAGTCTCCATGAAATATCAACTTGGTTCCTTGCCTAAAATTGTCATGTGTTTGCTGTCAATAAGCCAACTGCTACTGCTGCCCTGCTATATCATACTGCTACACCAGTCCCTATCCCTGCTAAAACCTGCATAAATAACCAAACAATACAATCCAAAATTATGCATAATAAGACTGTCCACAACATGTCAAAATCGACTTCCCAAAACCTATTTTTTTGCCTTGTCTCTATTCCCGCACAAACAACAAAA